ATCTAGATAGGAAAATTTTTTCTTTCAATAAGATAGAAGAAAGGCAATTCTTTTCAATATTCTCGATTATTCTAGCATTAATAAATTTTGCAATAGTAAAAGTAGATATTTACCGAGCATATATATTTACAATCTTTGTTTCTATACAATCTTTGTCCTATAAACTATGTAAAATAATAAAAACTTCTTTGCATAATTATAGTATAAAGTAGTGTAATTACAAATTTACATTACAATACTCAACACGTAATAATTTATATTTACAGACGTGGAATTAAATTATTATGGACGCTGTTCAACAAATCGAACTGGATAACAAATGATTTACATTATGCAATACAATTTACGGTAATAAATATTTTAATAAAATATTGATAAATGTAAGAAGAATATTTATACATTATAATGTATACATTTTAGTATGGCAATTTTCATGTTAGGCCTCACGATGTTAGGCCTATTGAATTGTTATTCGTTTGACAATTGTAATATCCTGTATTAATTTGTTATTATTGAATTTCGGAAGTTTTATTATTGTATTCATTATTATATTTATTGAATTCATTATTAATATTGTTCTTTTTCCTCCAAAAAAATACACAACTTTCCCAATTTTTCCATTAATGCTATAAATCTCAATGTTTCTTTGATGATTTATGTATGTACATCCGTCTTACTAAAGGTTCCGCAGCAGTCAGTATGTCATAGTTGACGTATTAACTCTCTCTTCATTTTTACTGAAACAAGCTTGCCACAGTAAAATGTACAATATAAGACTAAAAGATTTTAATTAAAGCGATTTTAATTTAAGCGACCAATATGTATAATGTAAAATAAGTGAATATTTTCGATAATCGCGCGGATCTTTATGTCTAATAATAATTGTGAATTTAATATAACTGTGAATTTTAACTGTGAATTTAATATAACTCATATTTCCGCTTATTATTTGAATCATGAGCCGATTATACTTTCAGTCTTAAAATTTTGTAGCCAACGCTTGTACAACTATTTGTAATATAAATTATTGTATAAACAAAATTTTGATTTTTTTAGACTTCATTTTGTAATTCGAATCGAATTAATTCTAAGATCGATTGTATTCGAAATGCAGTAGGCAGAGCAATCAAATAATCTCTATAATCGACTCTGCATATAAAATCATCCAAGCTGCGTCATCTCCCTTCGCACTAAAAAAACTGTAATCTATTAACAAAGCGAATCGGCTTGCTCACAGAAAATACAATGAATATTTATTTTACATCTAATCTTGATAATGTCACGTTCAAGTATGATAATAATACGTACCAAAGTTCTACATAGGAATAATAGCCTTTACTATATTAGCACGTACAAGTTAAATTCAATTTAAATGCAGCTAGATCTTGCAATTTGCAGAAAGGCAGATCTATTTATACACTTACATGTTGTGGCACTGATCTTGTAAATACCCATCCCGATGTTACGTCGATGTTCTGTAAACTTATGGTCTTATTCTTCTTTCGACTCTCAACAACACTTGATTGCCAAAAAGTTCGCCGTACAATATTACACGAATACATAATATTGTTTCCATGTGATTAATAAATATGACATATAAGTGAAGATAATTGCGATTTTTTAAATGCTGATAAAATATTGTGTAACGTTATTTTATTCTATCTCTTTGCTTTATTATTTTTATACAATCATAAAATCGACGTGTTACAGACAACAGTGTTTATTTAGCAAACTTCATGTGTTAGTAATGTTGGATATATTCCATTAAATTTTAAATGTATGCATTTTTAACTTGTAATTGTTATTACGTTATGTAAAAACTACTTACTATATTTATACATATTTATACATATTTATACATATTTATATTAAATTTATGCATTGTATATACATTAAAATATATTTTTACTATACATATATTAATATTAAAATATAACATTTACATTACATTAAATTAGGAATTAATACCATTATTTGAATATTTACTTATTATATTTACTTATTATATTTTAATGTTATTGTTATTATCATTTACAGCTGACGTGGTTTCTGTTGTTTGCATAAAGGTATTATTTTCGTATTTTTTGCGTGCTGAACATGAATTCTGTAATGAAATTGCTCTATCACATTAGGTTTTTGAGAAAAGTGAGATTAAAAATGTTAAAATTAACATTTTTTTGACATATTTGTGATTCTTTTGTTAGCGATCAAGTAAATTTTTTTTATCTTTCGTTTAAACCATCTTGAAGTTATATCTTTAAAATATACTTTTTTATTGCTATATATTTTTTTTCTCCGGGTTAATCTTTGCGTAGTTACATCAAGGAAAATATTTTGTGCCAAAAATGTTTTTGAAGAAAAAGAAAGAATTGATGATTTTTTTAGTAAGCAAGGTTTGTAAGATTATTAAATATGATGGATCAAAAATTTGTCATCACAAACATTTTTTTTTAATTTACTCGAAATTAAATGTTCTAAAAGCTCATTTTGCGTAAATTTTATTACGGTTCAAAGTAAAAATTGTCAATGAAGTGAGCAAAAAAAATTGAAATTATCCGATAACGAATATTGAATTTTTTATATGAACTGTAATCAAAATTTACGTCATACGAGTTTATAACTCACTCAATTTCGAGTAAATTTAAAAAAAACTTTAAAATTGGTTAGAACGTTGCGCGAATTTTTTCACTTACGAATAAAAGGAAATGCGAGGCCTTGAAATTTGATGTCGCTTTTAAATGGTAATTTGTTTAAATATAGACTTTTTACAACTGTTATCAATGTTTCTGTAAAAAATAAAATAAAATGAAAATAAAATTTTCAAAAGAAATTAGCAGCGTTACAAGAATACGTATTGCGATAACTGACAACTGTCTAAATAAAAAATACGTAATAATGAATAATAATTTATTTATTGCAACGAATATTATAAGATTAAATTTAATTTTTCGAATTTCTCATATATTTAATCTCAAAAAGTCTGTAAATATACAAATTAAGTTTCTGTTGAAACAGCTTAAGTAAAGTATTTTTATTTACATATGGATATAATTTTTATATTCGCCGATAACTTGGATAATACATTTTTTTTATTTTCTTATTTCAATAATTAGTTTAATATTTTTTCCGCAGCATCAATGACAATTCTTAATTTGATTATTGATTGCAAGGTGACCTAATAATTTTTATCAGAATTCTACTTATCAGATATTAAGGAAGGCATTATCAATATGATGTCTAAGTAGAATTCTGATAAAAATTATTAAAGTCGGCTTACAATTATACTAATGAAAATAAAAATCAAGCGTAAGTCGAATGTAATGAGAGAGAAACAGAAGCGCAAACTTCTAGGAGATGAAAATTGAAACATTAAAATGTTAAAGTTTCGTTTACGCTTCTATTACTCTCCCATTACATCCATTGGATTTACGTTTCGATTTTTATTTTTCTCATGGTAGTAGTCCATAAAAAAGTTGAGTGTTGTCAATCACGTCGCGAAAAGAGATATCAAACTGATTATTGTGACAGATTAAACTACAAATTAACTTACGACGAAAGTAAAAAACAATTATCTACGTTATCGGAAAATATCAAAAAATATATCCAAATGTAAACACTTTACTTGAACTGCTTCAACAAGAAACTTAACTTATATAACAGAAACTTACAGAATTTTTTGATTATATGAGATTATATGAGATTATATGAGAAATTCAAAACATTTTGTAAAATTTAATCTTATAATATTCGACGCAATAAATAATTTTATTGTATTTACTTATGTATTTTTTATTCAAACAGTTGTCAATTATCATCGTAATACGCGAACCCTTGTAACACTGCCAATTTCCTTTGAAAATTTTATTTTCATGAAATTTATTTATAGAAACATTGATAGCTATCAGTTGTAAAAAGACTATATTTAAAAAAACCATTTAAAAGTAATATTAAATTTTAAAACGTCGTACATAGCTTTTTCCTTATGAGCGGAAAAATTCGACGTTCTAATTCTTAACCAACTTTAAAGTTTTTTTTTTTTTTAATTTGTTCGAAGTTGAGTGAGCTATAAGCTTATTCTACATAAATTTTGATTATGATTTAAATAAAAGATTTCCGATCCAATATTCGTTATCGTGTTTTGACTTTTCTTACTTCGTTGGATCGGTAATTTTTACTTTGGACGTAATCAAAGTTTATGCAAAAAGAGTTTTTAGCTCATTTAATTTCGAACAAATAAAAAAGAAACTTTAAAATTGATTAAGAAGATTAGAGCGTCCGTCGACCGAATTTTATTCATAAAGGTTCCGTTGTGTCCCGGTGGCACGAGTTAAAATTATTCAAAAAATCAGAAAAAAATACGATGTTATTTCTTTGAAATATTGAATCACTTTAGAGAGTGTCGCGATTAAATTTTAATTTAAATTTTAAAAGTTGTTCAAATAACAACCAATCCACAAACACACACACACACACACACACGCGCGCGCGCATGCACGCACGCACGCGCACACACACACACAAAATAAATGTGTATATGCATGTACCTATACATATGTACATATGCTCTAATTACAATTAAAACTTTTACATAAATAGAAATAAAATTACTAAAACTAGTGAAATCTACTATTACCTTAAAAATGTAACATCGTTACCCAATCATTAATCAATCAAATCAATACTCGAAAAATTAACTTGTAGCAGTAATGACGTTACAAGCAAGACGCATTACTTGCTAATCCCCTCTTATATTGTAACAGAACCGTTGGTTGACAACCGGTTTTATATAAAAGCAAGCGCAACGAATGCTGCCAAATAGTACATCATCGAATTTATATTCAGTATATCATCTTGAACATCTTGGACATAATATAACGTTGATTGCTGATCTTTCAACAAACTAATTTTAACAAAATGTTGTTTTATTTAATATTGAGTAAGAAAACTATTTTAAATATTTTGTATTTGATGCGAAGTGTTATTTTTATATCAATTAGCTAATATCTCAATCATATTGAATAATTCTTACAGTTGCTGCATCGCCGTTTGTCATTACCGCGTTTCCACAAGTAAGTAAACATTCTTTAATATGCTCTTTTGTAGGAGAAAATATTTAAATAATATTAGACATTTGCATATGTTGTCAAGAAGTATTATTGTGACTTGTACTAATTGTAAGCACAATAATTAAGTGATGTTACAAACACATCATGATCGTTTGCGAGTCGATTAATTCTTAACAATTTGGATTTTCTGTATGTAACGATAATATCTTTATTTTACACGCTTTGTGAGAGAGATTAAAACAAGAGATGATCGCACTCTTATACTTGTTTATAGTTTAATATTCTGAAATCAATATCGTAAATTTATCTGTATAGTTTTATTGATAATAATATTTCTATATTTTCTAAAAAAGTGTCGAGGATCTAATAAGAGAATCTTGAAATTATTTGATAAATGTATGTGTGTGTATCACAGAATTTGGATAACATACCTGTGGAGACGGCTCAAGAGCCAGTGGCTTTCAAATCCAATGGAAATCAAGAAACAACTGTATTATCCACAAATGATTGTGTTATACCTGAAGATAGAAATACCGATTGCATGAAAAACTGTCCTGTAATTATGATTCTTTTCTTACTAAAATTGCCGTAACTTTATTCAAAACAATGTTTAATTCAAGAGAGAATTTTGTTAAATAAATTTTAAAAGTAATCTAAATAATTGAATCTCTCTCTCTCTCTCTCTCTCTCTCTCTCTCTCTCTCTCTCTCTCTCTTTCTCTTTATATCATTCTCTCAATATCATTCTTATTCACAGATGAATAGAAACGACTGCAATCCTGTTTGTGGGACGGATGGTGTATCATACATTAATAAAAGTGAACTACAATGCATGATACATTGTGGAAAAAGTGAGTGTGCTTCATAAAAATTTTAAAATATTTAACAATTGTTTTTATTTTGTGAAAGATATATGCGTAGTTACAATATAATTTTTTATCACCATGATTATGATTTCAAAGATAAGATATAACAATCTCAAACAAATTTTCATTTTAATGCTAGAATAGTCAAGCTAGTTGTTTAACATTTTTAAACATGTAAAGTAAATGTACTAATTAATGAACAGTTAATAGATATAAGAGAATTATTTGAGCAACAACAAAAATTTTAAATATTAAGCTTCTAGTAATATATACAACTCTAAATAAATTCGTTATTTATAAATTTAATAAGGATGAATATGTTTAGAGTCATATATCATTAAAATTAATGTTCAAAATAATTAATTAATATTTAATTTTTGTCATTTTGCTTAATAATTGGGCCATCCACTAATTGATATTTATCTTACAATTAGATTGTTTTTATTAGTTCTTTTAATTTATCTTTATCATTATTATTGCTTAGTGCTTACATCCTTGAAATTATATTAAATATATTTATATTGTAAATTGAATATTTAAAGGTATAATATTATATTTATATTTATATCATATTTATATTTATATATTTTTTTGTATATACATAAAGGAAAAAAGTCTTATCTAAATCTAGATAGGGAAGTTTTTTCTTTTTATATCAATAAGATAGAAGAAAAATAATTCTTTCCAATTTTCGATTGTTGTAGTATTAATAAATTTTGCAATAACAAAAGTAGATATTTACCGAACATATATATTTATACATTTAACAATTTTTGTTCTATAAACTATATAAAATAATAAAAACTTCTATGCATAATTACAGTACAAAGTAGTATAATCAATTATGAGCGCCTTACAATGTTTAACACGTAATAATTTATATTTACAGAAGTATCATTACTGCATAATGGAACCTGTTCATAGGACCGAACTGGATAACAAACGATTTGCATTATATAATATAATCCGATAATAAATATTTTGATGAAATATTAGTAAACGTAAGAAAAATATTTATACATTGTAATGTACACTGTTAAAAATATCATGAAATTTAATGTACTTTTAAGTTACACAGATTCAATTATATGATAAATTAAATTCAATTATATGATAAATTAAATTTTATGTATCTGCAACTGAAAAATATATTTGTATATTTGTACATGAAATTTAATGTACTTTTCATAAAATTTTACGAAGTAAAGTTACTTACTTCATTTTTATTGACAATATTAAATATTTTTAACGTACTGGCTTGAAATTTGCTTGAAATTTTTTTTTTACATGTAACGAAAACAAATTTCTTTTTTTTTAACAGTGTATACTTTTTAACAGTGTATACTTTTTATGGTAATTTTTATGTTGCAATGTTAGCCTATTGAATTATTATTTGCTTGGCAATTATAATTAATTTCTTATTACTGAATTTCGGGAGTTTTATTATTGTATTCATAATTATATTTATTGGATTCATTATTAATTTTAACATTGTTTTTATTTCCTCCAAAAAATACACAATTTTCCTAATTTTTCCATTAACGTAACTGTAGATCTTAATGTTTCCTTATTACGAAAAAAAACTTTTCAGGTTCAATAGTTACTATTGGTGATGTTCCAGTTACTATTGAAAACATTCTATTGAAACTCCATTAGGCATATTATTGAGACTCCAATAGTTACTATTGAGATTCCAATAGTTTATTAATATTGCAAGTAAACGTATAAGTATGTGCAATATGGAGTTGATATTGAAATAATACATTTAATGACATTAAAAAAATTAATATATATCTAGCAATATGCTAAAAAATAGTTTGAAAATGTTAACAGATAGAAATATAATTTCAAAAATAACCCATGTAGCAAGCTATGTCACTTTGATGTCAGCTTGCTATCAGGGAATAATATATTATGAGTTACGATAAGAACATATTAATTCTGTTTTCATGTTATGTAATTTTAATTTTCATTTTTTATCTTTAATTTTTCGATGTTTTACTTATTGCTCGTTTTTTCATACATATATCGCTTTCATATCTTAAATATTTTTGTATTTTATAATTTATATTTTAGCACAATAATAAACACAACAATATGTATGTATACCAAGAAATTTTATGTATAGTTTCTTCTTTCTAATTAAATTTTTATTGATTGATAGTAACCAATAATACCTATTCATCAATAGTAATTATTTATCAGGATTGGCAACGTTATCTCATAAAAATAACTCATTACTGTGACCGTTCTTTTTTCTAAAAAAATAAGGAGTTTTTGCAATAACGTGAATTCATATACAGTGAACGCTAAAGTCACGTTATCCTTTTCTTAAGTAATTGTTAAGAAAAAGATAACCTGACCTTAGCATTCATCATAGATTTATAGATAAATGATATTGCAAAAATTCCCTATTAACTCGTTCCCGTTATTCGTTATTGAAATGCAAAAGTAACTCGTTACCGTTATCATTACTCAAAATAAAACAAATAATTACTTCTTTGTTACTTTTTTCTTGACACAATAGAATATTACATGCAAATTTTTGCGGTAAATGTAAAAAAAATGTAAAATTCTATTTTTTAATAGAGAAATAGAACCCAAAAAATATATGCCTATAATAACATTGTACGTTATTTTCATAAATGAAATAGATGCTGTCGTATCACATAATAAATACTGCATTTTTTGTAATTTTTACATTTAAATAAATTTATTTTTTGTATTATTTTTAATAAGATATTTTTAAATTACACGTTTAACTTTTAATGTACAATTTTCCTTTACTGTGTACATACAATAAATCATTTGTGTGTAGGTTAATTTCCATAATTTTTGCAAATATACAAAAATTATAAATAGATTCTTATATATATTTTAACATTTTTAAAAAACATTTATGAAGTTATATATTTAAAAAGAAGGAAAGAATGAAAAAAATTATTTAATCAGGTGCAGTATTTCGAAGAAAAGAAACAAGATACGAATGATTCATTGTGAATACTCTAAGAGTAAAATTATACTATAATAAAAAAATGTTGTTTATAATCTGCATTATATACATGTATTTAATTTGTAAGATATAACACAGAAAAAATTTTATTTTAAGAAATTAAATATATTGTAAAGATTATACCTGAGTTAGTTTATACGTATGAATACAATGAAAAAAAGCGTTGTGATCGCGTAATTTAGATAGTCAATCAGAGTTAATGTTTTATCTCTGTTTTTTATGGTAGAGCTATAGTTACGATTAAACTTTTACGTAGTTAGAAATAAAGTAACGATAAAAATAACTAGTAGAAATCGTTACCCTAGAAAGGTAATTGCGTTACCATGAACATTACTCAAAAGAAAATGTAACATCGTTACCCATTCGTTACTAAAAAAAGTAACTTGTAACAGTAGTAACTACATTACAAATAACATGTTACTTGCCAATCCTGCTACTTACCAACAGTAACTATTTATCAACAGTACTAACTATTAGTTAAATAACTATTGGCCATTTTATCATTTATCAATAGTTTTTTTCCCTAAGGGTATATATCTGTCCTACTAAAGGTCCGTAGGAGTCAATATGTCATGCATGACCGCTCTCCATTTTTATTGTGAAACAAGACTGTGCCACAGTAAAATGTACGACAATAAGACTAAAAGACTTTAATAACGACCAATATATGTATAATGTGTGCAAGAATTAAATAATAAACAACATAATAGAGATACTAATATCTCTGTTGTGTTGTTTATTATTTAATTCTTGCAATTACAAAAAAGTTATTCATAATTCAGAATTGAACAATGAAATATCTTTATGGTTACACGGGACAAAGAACTTCGTCGTAACTAGTAAGACGATATATATTTTTTAAATACATTTCGATAGAAATGTTTTTAATGGTTGAATATAATCTTTTTATAACAATAATTTTACAATAAAAAGGCTCTAAATTTAATAATAAAAAAAACTTAAGGAAATTTGCTAATGAGAGCCTGCACCAAGTGTTCAATGTGATAATAATGATTCATGTATTCATAAAAATATTATATATATATAT